CAGACGGGTGTGCTCTTTTGGTTTGGTTACATGGGCGGGGATATAGGGATATCGCGGTGGTTCAAAGTTAGGGCGCCACCAGTTGCCTATGCAATCCTCCGGGATCCAACCAACTGGCACACCATCCGTGCGGCCGAGCATCTAATATTTGACGGAGCACAGTAAACGGGGTGAAAAGACTTCGTGTATGAGTTGTTGAGAGTAGAAAAAGAAACCGCTAAACGTTATACAAAGCGTGTAAAAATGGAAGACATAGGGGGTGAGAAAAGGAGCAAAAAGAATAATGAAAAAAGTGGATCAACAAATGCTTCATGATATATGTTCGCGTCGCTGACTGGTTGTTCAAGGTTAGGCGAATAAGGTCATCAACTTATCATCTTAGGAGTGGTGCGTGCTCCAGCCTCCCAACCAGCGCCTAACTTTCCCATTGTATCATATAACAGTCCATGGATGGGCCGCTTCCCTTTTCTTTCAAAATTGTTTGTACAATTGTGTCCGATGAAAAGAATGAAATGAAGATAAAGGATCGTGAAGCCATTCATAGAAAAATGGTAATCAAGGCTTACTCTAGTATGTGACTTAGTTGGTTAGCGCCGGTTCATGTGGCTTCTATTAATCTCTCCTCATTCGTGTATGGTTCGCATGAGAAATTTTCAACACTTTATGTAGGTCCCGTGATAGTTCATACTGCGTGATTCAGAATACCAAAAATAAACAGTAATACCGATAATGGTACTAGGCATTACGAGGTAGGAGAGTTATAATAAAATTCAATTTAATATTAATTCAGGTCGACTGGCGATCCTTTGGAATTGAACTTCTCGCACAATGATCATTAGATTCAATCAACTACACACCCCGGAAGCACTAGACTCGACGTTCGCTCTTCAATTGCTTATCCGTTCACAATGAAAACCATGGACTTCTCACATGGAAGGTGTGTATAGCACCTACTTCGTCACTGACGGACCGAACAAGCTGAAGATGAGATCAGAACCAATTTGCAGCGGNGACTTCGGTCAACAGTGACGCGTGGAGGTTAGGTATCACTGATGAACTCTAGCTCATCTGCGGTCCGTGCCGGGATTACCCAGATGAACTGAGGATTGCAGACAAAGTTTGTAGAATGGTCAGTGACAAACAGTAACCATTACCCCATACCACTGCCCACAAACCGCATTAGGCCGAGTCAAAAATGATCTCAGGTACGCTTTTCACGCATCGCCCCCAAGCCTCGCGGATCAGGCCTTGACTAGCTGAACGCTCCGGTTGCAAATACCCCCAAAAACTCACCTGTTTTGGTTTGGATAGCCTGCCAGTATTCCGCACATTAGCAACTAGTGGAATGAGATATTTGTCATAACAACAATTGTTTGGCACACAGTCTGAACTCGGAAGCGCGTAAAACATAATATGTGTACTCTAAGTTCTCGGACTAAAGTTGCCGGTTTCTCTAAGACTTGCTGTGGATTTCCTGTACTAAACAGTATATTGTTTTACGCATTCCCAGACTCGCGGTCTTAAACACTTAAACACTATGCTCCAGTCCCTTGAGTTCGTTTCTCCCTTATGCTTATTCTTCTATCAGAGACCCAATTATCTTCTTTGAGGTCTTGCACATATGCTGTTCTATCAAATCTTTCAAACTGCTGGGAACCACATAAGATGATTGGTACTGCGGCTGTCGCAGGTTACCTATGGGATTTAGTTAATAAAAATGCCGTCTAGTCAGAATAAACTAATTTCTCTATGAACAAACAAAAGTACTTTTTCAGTTGACAAAACAAGTCATTGAGGGACCAACTGTTGTCGGATATTCACAACTTTGCTCTCATCTATCAAATAGTGGGAAAATCTTTACACAATGAGTCATCGGCTCAATTTAAGGTCATTACTCGGGGGCAGATAGTGTGTATGGGAGAGAGAGCATTTAGTTTGTTAGTGGATGTGACTTTTATCCCTTGTATCACGTTCTGTCTTGGTTTTCACACTAGGTCAAGGCAATTGAAGTGATTGAACCAGTCTTTTATGAGCACATGTTTGGACAGTGTAAGTGAATGGCGATCTCCTCGGGAGTCATCATACCTGCTGGGAAATCAGTGTTTATTACAGACGATTATGTCAACAGATAAATGGTATAAGAATGCACATAGTAATTGGTGATACCCAAATCCATTTGTGGAATCATTTCAGGAAGCGGTTATAAAAAGTGCACGAAAATTGGTAAAATCAAGAGATACATTCAGAAAGTCTACTGATATAACTGACTAATTACCATGCTCAACGGAGGAAAATCATTGG